AAAAAAAAAAAAAATCCGGGTTTGTTTTTCTTTCAAAATTTGGGGGGCCCCCCCCGGCCAAGGTTTTTTTGGGATTCCCCCGGGCAAATTTGGTCCCGTTTCAAATAAGTAACAGCCTTCCCCCCCCCCCCCAAGGCCAGGGGGTTTAAAAAAAAGGGGGGGGTTGGGGGGGGAACCCCCCCAAAGGGGGGCCCCCCCCCCCCCCGTTGTTTTTGTGAAGTTGAAGAAGCACTGCCAAGGACCCCCCCCCCCCCCCCCCACACACACACACCTCAACTGCTAAGCAGTGAAAAGTGGCGGGCCCTGATGACGTCATCTGTTTTCTTCACGGAGGTTTTCGCTCAGCCTTCCGACGTCTGTGCTGTAGCGGCTGGACGATTCGCCGTCGCACGCAGGAGACCCCGAGTTTGGTTCCTGGGTCCTGAGAAAATGTTTATATATATTTATAGAGTACCGTCTGATAATGATGATATCTCGGTCTCTCTGGTGCGATGTTGTATCCCTCTCAGCCCGGGCTGGGGAAAAAATTGTTTACTGGGTCAGACCTGAGGTTTGAAATGTATCCCGGAGATGTCGGCCCAGAGGTTTTCTCCTAGCCGTGGCTGCTGCAACCTCCCCCCCCCTCCCACACCCCCACCCCTAACAACGTATAAGAAAAAATAAGTGATCTCTTGTTACGGATCAAATTGAAGTCATGTTACAATTCGATTAAAATCTAATTAAATTGATAAAAGTGCGTATCGCAAGGCATTGGTCAACCCTGCCCTATTGGCCTATACTATAATGCTATTTAATAAATACATTCGTCAGATCTGGAATCTTTAATGCCAGCACACAGTAGTAAACAAACACATTTTTTTTTAAAATTAGGCTTATAAGAAAAAATAAGTGGTCTCTGGTTACGGATCAAATTGAAGTACTGTTACAATTCAATAAATTGATAACAGCGCGCATTGCAATGCTTTGGCTAACCCATCATTATACGCTATTTAACATTCGTCAGGCCTGGAATCTTAAATTGTAATCATAATTTTATACGTGCCCGCGCGTGGGAAGTGAAAGGAATTGAAAATGCTTTCAAAAACAATTATAAATGAAAGTAACATAATTAATGTAGGACTACATGTGCTTATATAATAAAGGCCCAAAATCAAAAAGGTGTATGGATGCGGAAATTAATGTTTCGGAGGAAAATAATACGTACGCTATCTCTACTACTGTAGCGTGCGGTCAAAAATTGGTTGCGCAACTTATTATCAAATATAGGCTACTGAACTATTGAACATCTAGATATCTAGATTCTCCTACTTTTGCACAATGACTTAGATCTATAAAAAAAAAAATTATCAATTCGTCTTAACAGATGAGTATTTTTTAAAACATTTGTACACATAGCCTATATTATTCTAGAAATTTCTGTAAAGAAAATTCTTTAATAAAACTAGCCCAATATTTTTTTTAAATCCCAGTCAATGGTTTTTACAGATTTTAAAAAGTTTACAGCTGGATCTAAATCTCTTTTAAAAGCAAGTCCGTCCTTTTTTTCTACTTCTGTTGGCGACATAAAGCGAAGTATTGAACGCATGTTGTGAGAACATTAATTAAATCTAGTGAAAAAATATGTTCAGTCTGTCCCTTTTGGATTATGCGATTGTGCGGCCGCGTTTTTTCCGCATAATTCTGCACATTTGCATAATTTTGGATTCCCCGCATTTTTTCACGTTTTTTTTCCCTTTTTTAAAAAAAAAAACAATTAATTTTATTAATTAACGCCTCACCATGTGACTAAAGGGAAATTAGAAATAATCAAAGTAATAAGTCTTATTTAAATGAAAAGTTGGTTATTTCCCTTTGTAGAAGATCTTGGTTATGGTTTGGGATTTTGTTCCTTGAGCATGTTCAATTCTTCAATCCATCAAAAGTTGTTGTTCTCATGTCTGCTGATGCTTCATGTTTGACAGGTGTCCCTGGTTTTAGTACTGTGCCAGCATCATAGGTCCAGATGTCCTTTTTTTTTTTTTTTTTTTTACATTTTTCTTTCAAAGATCTAGATCTAAATCTACAGCTGACAGTTACAGGATTATATTTTTTAGTTAATTTTTTTTTTATTACAGATGTGTAGAGCTATTGTTTTCTTTCCAAATACACGACAAATTACTGATACTGATATGTTCTGTTTTCAATTTTTCTGTACTTAAAACATAAAAGTCATGAAAATTTGTGTTGAAAAAGTGCAAAACATGTCGCGAAAGGTGTTACGGTAACTTGCATAATTTTTGCATAATTTGGCTTTTTTGGGTGCATAATTTAGCCATCTAAATTCGCATAATTCTACAGGGACAGTTCAGTGTAAAACAAATTTCTTGTAACAAGTTTTGCTATTTAAAAAAATGACGTAGGCCGCCATATAATATGATATATATGCGTATGCAAAATGTGTGTGGGAAGCTAGAAGTGCTGTGAACAATCCCATCCGTGTTAGCAATTTTTTCAGTTCTGTAGATCTTATATAAACTCTCTATGTCTGCTTTTTCTGTTGTTGCACCCAAAAACACAACAATTTAAAACCTTAATTCCAATCTCCAGGTTGCACAGTGAATTCTGAAACTCAAAATTACAAACTGGAAAGTAAATGTTCCATTTTTCACTCGTTTGTAAAAGCCGTTCTTGCTTTAAAAGCTATAGGGTTACTTCAGAAAACGATAAATCTCGCCCTCAAGACGCCATTGTTTCGGTCTTCAGTTCCTCACAGGTCACGTGGTACAGTGCCCGTTCTATAAGTGTAGAATTCTGTGCGCTAGTGTCACGGGCCGTCACGCGCCAGCACAAGGCCGCGCCTAAGTCTCGTGCGGATGCGAGATAGGGCAATAGAAACATCTTGGTATACACGATCTTTGATGAAACTATTGAGAGCACCTAGCACACCTTTGTGATTGTCCCAAAATAGATCAAAGGTGATGTTTTTTCGCCATCTATTTTTGTCGTCTTCTAAGGTTTCCCTCGGGAGTTGACTACATTGTTGTAGATCCCCTCAATCTATCACCCTTTATTATTTAATTTTTATCATTCATCGGAATGCCAGTGACAAAGTTACTAAAACTAGAAATTCAGCGTCGTAATGGTACCGGTATCAAAGATTGTCTAACTACTACATGTACATGTACCAAGATGTTTAAATTGCCCTATCTCGCGTCCGAACGAGACTTGGGCGCTAAATGTACCTCGTCTTAGCACGTGGCGGCCTGTGATACGAGTGTAAACAAACGTTCCAGCGCTGAGTTGAAAGCGAAAAACTTTGTCTGCGGGCAGAGAGAGAGAGGCTGGCCCCGCGGGAAATTGCATTTTTGAAATAGAAAAATTGCAAGCTTCCCATCCCAGGCGTATTAGTACGTGCTTAACATTTTTAGTTTAAAAAACATGACAATTTTGAGTACCGGTAGCATAAAAGAAGCACAGCCTTTTAAAAAATCATGACTAACAATACAAATTCATCAAATGTTATTAACAACATTTTTACTAGTAACAACACACGAGTACGTTATCAATAAAAAGTTATCGACCAAATATGATATGATAACGCGTGACACAAAATAACGGAACCCTCGGTTTTTAAATGAAGGCATAAAATTTGACCAAATTTAGTACATGCCTGGTACTTGGTTCATGCAAAAATCTAGAAGCGTGTGAGGTTTAGTCTATAAAAAAACAAAAAATTGACGAGAGATTTTCGAAACAACCTCTAAATACAAAATAAGCTTAAGCTCCAAACAAACCAGATCCTGTTCTATAATTTTTCTCTTGAAACCTTCGATACACCGGTAATCTATTTAGATCTACTATTTCAGATATGTTCTCTTTTAAAACCTGCATGGTATTGTTTTAACACTAAGTCAAGTCGTAAAATACAGCAAATTTTTTCCCCCATTTATAAACAATAGTAATATTACATGTACTAATGTAAATTTAGATCATTTCTATAGCACCCACTCCCGTGTGAACGCAGCTTAAGGGCGTTTTACATAAAGGTCTGTTTACGTACACGGTACACGGACACCTAGCCTCAGTGTCTACGTACACGGTAACCGGCAACCATGCATGTAGTTTCAGTGTCACGTACACGGTAACCGGACAGTTAAGTTAAGAATTCCAAGTTCAATTTTTGTCCTACGGTGTTGCCTTCAACTCCAGCCCTCCCCCGGCTGTACATTTTTTTAAAAATCAATATATGTCCCATTCCAGAGCCCCATACTTCGTAGCGCACAGACTTTGAATGAACTTTGGTGACCCCCACCGGTACTCTCAGTGTGATGCGAAAGCACAGGTTCAATGACCGGTAACGATGGCGAGCCCAACAAGACGCGTGTATAACTTTCTTCTTTTATTTCAACAAGTGACAGCACAAGACAAATATTGGTTAATTTTCATTCCGATGGGTCACCGTGTACGTAGATACTGAGACTAGGTGCCCGGTTACCGTGTATGTAGACACACATGCATCATGTACGAACAATAATATTCACGCGCGCGAACTCACACGCACACACACTCACGTACACCTCACACACGCATACACCTACTTTCTTATCACACGCACACGCTTACACACATTAGATCTAATATCTAGATCTAGGCCCAGCCTATGTCTCAGTTTGTGTTGTAGGCCTACATGATGCATTTCGGCCTGAATGTCCGGTTATACAGGCCTACCTTTTTCTAGAATACGCTCAGTAGGCTTGAGCTGGGCCGATACCATGATTTACGTAGGCCTATCGGCTCTGTACTCGCACCATTTCGTATTTAAAATTCTGTTAAAATTAAAGCGTTGATGTATTTTTGCCTAAAATTGCAAAATAATTGCGGGTTTATTGAGGAACTCGATGAAAAACCCTACCCGGGAATCGAACTCGGGACTCTTGTGTGGACAGAGAAACACCAGACTACTACCACGCAGACGCTGGTACTGTGATCTGTGTAACCTGAACAATTATAACACTGTACATGGTGTTACTAAAATATAATAAAGTAGTCACTGTACATTCTGTGTTCCAATAGGACCTTCAGAACAGAAGATCATGCTGCTGTAAGTGAGCAAGTGTACACGGTAGCAGAAGTGTGTGGGTTTTACACCCTCATCAACACCTTTGGGTTTATTTCTTCTTTGTCTTCTTTGCGTTCCTGTGCTAGCTCTCAGGGGTAGTCAACAGCTATAGTTCTTCAACTTCAACTTGCCACGCAACTGATTTTTCTGTAATATGACGACCGTTTTTCCTACTGAGTTGTGGGGATCTTTGCCTTCAGCTACATTCCGACATCGAATAAGGTAGCCTACTAATCTCTCTATAAATGTATAGATCTATGTTTTTATTTTGACTTGATAGAGTATGTTCAGTTTTGGAAGGAATTAATTTTGAATTTCGTCACGTAGCGGCAGAAGTCTACTCTATTATTGATTTTAGGATTACCAATGGATTTTCAACGTGGGTAACTGGCACACAAGACCACCGATCTCGAGATAGTTCGCCCTAATCTGAGAAGGTTTTTAAAAAATGATAAATTGCAAAGGACGCTGAGCATCTCCTGGAGATGAAAGGAGGCAATATAATATATACATGATGCTATTTATAGGCTAGTAATAATAATAGTAATAAAAATAATTTAAATAATAATAATAATAATAATAATGCCTTTTTGCCCTTCACATGAGGTACTTCCGCCTTTCTTTATTCTTTGAACTTCCGGTTTATTTTACCAAGGAATTGTGGGGAAAAAATCTTTGAGCTGATGTCCTTGTTGGTCGCCATTTTGCTCTGAGAGTAACGCCTTGCTTTAGCTGTCCACTGTTTGAAGTGTGTTCACTCACTACATTTAGTTTGAGACGGTTTGCAAAGTTTTTCAGAACAATTATTTGGCTGTTGAGTTGCTTTTCTGAAGTTTTCACGTCCACCTTTTCTGTTTTTGTCTTCCAAGGGTCTATTCGTTCCAGATCTGAAGGGTGCCACCAGAAGCCTTGTTGTCGTCTTCGCTGACTTCGCCGCCATGGGGAATTTTTCGTCACTTCTTACAGATGAGCCAGTCGAGCCCGAGCAGTGTCTGGACCTGGAGGAAGGCCAGTATTACGGGATGGAAGCATCGCACGTGTTCGTTGGATTTCAGGTGAGAAGGAATTATTTTATAGTTGGTGTGGAAACGGAGGGATACCGGGAGTTGTTTAAAGTAGCTAGGGAAGGAGAGCCCATTGTCACTCGTTTGGCTGGAGGACAAGCGTGGTACAGTGAGTGGTTAAGTCGGGTGGCGAGAGGAGAGGTAAGGTGGGTGTCGGGACCTAGGTGCGGACAGGTTATAGTTTTGTATGATGTACTGTGGAGGAAACCGATGAGGGGATAAGGACAGTAAGGGGTGGCTTTTATCTAGATCTAAGTGAGGGAAAGTAGCACTGAGTGACGAACTGCAGTGTGTGGTATGTCTAGTGTGTTAGTTTGTCTGCATCCATGTGTTGTATTTTAAGTTTATCATATTCTTTCGATGTGGTGTAGTTTTGGATTTTAAAAATATTTTTTTGGCTTTTTCTCCGTCTAATAGTGTTTGTCAATTTAAAGCCCAGACTGAGTTAGACTACTGTTCACTTCCTCCACTTGGGCTTTTGTGAGTCCGGGGGAAAGCTTTCTCTCTTTGTCAAGCCTCTCTCTCTCTCTCTCTCTCTCTCTCTCTCTCTCTCTCTCTCTCTCTCTCTCTCTCTCTCTCTCTCTCTCTCTATCTGCAGATTTTTGTTCTTCTTTTTTAAATGTTATAGATCTGGATACATTATGTATGGATGCGTGTGTTGTTAGGATGTTCCTCTTGTGTTTGTGTTAAATGTCTTGTTCATAATTTTACAATAGGTAAGACGCCATAATACAACCAGTAATTTTTCGATAGGAAGTGCGCCAGTCTCGATAGGATTTGCCCTCTTCACACTACTCACTAACACTTTCTTTGTTTTGTTTCCTGTCACGTATTATGTATAGACAGTCCAGTATGCCATCACTGTTTATTGAAATGTTTTAAGTTAGTAGCAGCAATGGAATAAAAACATATTTTTAGGTTGGGGGTGGGGTTGGATTGATAATGATGCAGATAAGGGCTGAGATTTACAGTATCTAACAGCTTGGAGTTTTGTAATAATATTTGCGTTTTTTTCTTAAATTTGTTTGGGGGCTTCTGCTTTGAAAAGCATTTTATGGTGGGGGGTGAAAATGTGTAGTCAGTTTAAAGAGTAGCCTGTTGTGGCTTAACAATCCAATATTGTTATCAAATATGATGGTTCAGGGGTCAAGGGGGAAACTGATCCTTGAACTTTCATATTGGATATACAGTATAGTATAGTTTTGGAAAGCAAGCAAGGGAATCCAGAATGCCAGTAGATCTACATGTAGTTGATTTTATGGGAAAGGGAAGAGATTGGGGGGGGGGGGGGGGGTTGGCCATCACATCACCGAAATGTTAAATTGTGTAAATATTTGGTGATTGGAAATTTTGGTTTGCTTGACTGGCCATAGATACTATAGATAAAGTAGAGACAAATGTATGTGTATTCCATGTGTCTTATTTTTCTGGTCCATGTCCCTAGAGTAGGTCTACACTAACCAAAGTCACCAGTAGGTGAGACTGAGCGCACACATTTTGGCCTTTTTTTCTGTCTGGTGACGACTAACTAAATTTGGTTTGCTCCA